AGCGGGGACTCAGGGTGGGGGCAGACAGGCGCGCAGCAGTGGGGACTCAGGGTGGGGGCAGACAGGCGTATAGCAGTGGGAGTCCGGCTCGGGTTGTGTTTGTGTCCTAAGAATTAGAACATTAGCACTATTGACTCTTTCCCATTATTTTTCTGTACTTGATATTATAGTTAATTATAAGCTTTTTTCTAAATAATTTAGCCTCCATAATATTATTTCTTAATGTGCTAAAGATAAAATTGAGTTCATAGACCAGTGCTTGTAGAATACAGTATTATAGCCAAAAATTTTACACTGAAATGCTGGTCATGGACTATTTTTGAAGAAGGGTGGTAGAGCTAAGGCTTGTGATATAAGCTCCCCTTAAAAAGTATGATGCATGAGATGAGATGGTTTATGGAACTGTTAGCTCAGTCATTGGTGGTACAAACTGATGATGTCACTGTTGGAACTTGTGAGAATAAAAAGTATGATGCATGAGATGAGATGGTTTATGGAACTAGCTCAGTCATTGGTGGTACAAACTGTGATGTCACTGTTGGAACAGTGATGTCACTGTTGGAACTTTTGATCCAATAGTAAAATCACATTAAATACAAAACATTATTCATAACCTTTTTGAGCAAAACTTAACACTAGTCAGCTTAATTTAATTTCTAACAGAATGATTGTTCATGGAATTAAACTTCCTCAGAGGAAACCAAGGAAACTAATTGGTTTGATTTAATTTCTAGCAAAATGATTTTGCACGGAGTTAAACTTTCTCAGAAGCAACGAAAGATGATTGCATTGACTACCAAAGAAAATTCAGGAATGAATAGCATGGAAACAGTTTTAACCACTCCTTCAAAAGCTCCCAGACCAGGGAACATATGGTATGCTTTTTTGTTGTTGTTAAATTAGCATAGATGCATGCATTAGCTTTCAAGGTAGTTGTTGCTTTTGATCCCAAATCCCACCCCTTACCCCCTCTGCTTTGAAGTTAATTACAACTTGGGAAACAAAGACTGTTTTTTTGTGTTTGACTTGTTTTAATTTGAGATATTTTGACATATACATCATGGTTTTCAAATGTGGAAATACTTTTCTCATATGGATGTAATTCATGATATTCTAAATAAGCTTTTCTTATTAAAGTGATTTGAAGGAATCTTTAAAAATCTTTTTATGAGTAATGAACTAGCGATAAATTTGATAAAACTAATTTCTTTATGCTACCCTAATTTCTTGGTCCTTATAAATAATCTATACACGATTATAATCATAGCTTCTTATTGTTACGTGTTTAAACAGTACTGTTTACTTAATATTGTGTCATACAGGTTTTCTCCATTTTTACCTGTAGGGGCAACATTAATGGGAGTAATTTTGAAAGAGGTCGAGTAACAATTTTGAGATATGTAAAGTAGGTTGTATTTCCTGCTTCCCTTTCGTCCTTTCTTTTTCTTTGTAAGTTATACCATAATATCTGGGAACGAATTCTAGAGAACCATGTGGGTACTGGAGCACCCTGCAAGGACTGGGGAGGGTGTTAACCCTGCCATCAGGTCTCAGTGATGCGGTAACCATGCCAGTTTCCTTACGTACATGGACCGGAGACGTCTCGCCAGCTTTCCTGGAGACCTCTTCCTTAGATACCTGTGTTATTTTGTGGTCTGAACTGGGTCTTTTCTAGGCCTACTGAGTACCTGTCACCTTGGGACTTACCTTAACTGTCATCCTGGAAATTTTCTTCACTTCCCTCCATGGTTTGATCCCCAGATTCCTAAACTCTCTGTTTTTCTAGCTTTCGGTTTACTCCTTGTTTGGTCGTAGCACAATTCCAGAGGTTTTCTGATGAGATATATAGGACTTGTATTTTTTTTTTTATTAAATTATAACTTTGTACATTAATGCATTTATGTAGTTCAGGGTACTGCTTCAGTATATAATGTGAAATGCCTACATGGAACTAAGTAACACATCCATCACAATTATACTCATTTCTTAATATCTCCCCTCCACTCCCCTCTCTCTCCTCTTCCCTTCTACATTCTGGACTACAGTTATGTTTTACCATTCATATGAGTGTGTAGGTGATTATATATTGATTTCATAGTAGTATTGAGCACATCGGATACTTTTTTTTCCATTCTTGAGATACTTTACTAAGAAGAATATGTTCCAGCTCCTTCCAGGTAAACATAAAAGATGTGAAGTCTCCATCTTTTTTTTATGGCTGCATAGTGTTCCATGGTGTACATATACCACAATTTGTTAATCCATTCATGGGTCGATGGCCACTTGGGTTGTTTCCATGTCTTGGCTATTATGAATTGGGCTGCAACAAACATTCTGGTGCAAATGTCTTTGTTGTAAAATAATTTTTGATCATTTGGGTATATACCTAGTAGAGGAATTGCAAGATCAAACGGTAGGTCTACTTTTAGTTCCTTGAGTATTCTCCAAACTTCTTTCCAAAAGGGACATATTAGCTTGCATTCCCACCAGCAGTGTAGAATTGTTCCCTTCTCTCCACATCCACGCCAGCATCTATAGTTTTGGGATTTTGTGATGTGGCTACTCTCACTGGAGTTAGATGATATCTCAGAGAGGTTTTGATTTGCATTTCTCTGATGATGAAGGATGATGAGCATTTTTTCATGTGTTTATAGGCCATGAGCCTGTCTTCGTCAGAGAAGTTTCTGTTCAGGGGGTTATTTATTCTTTTCTTACTGATTAGTTGAGTTCTCTGTAGATTCTAGTTATTAGACCTTTGTCAGAAACATAACCTGCAAAAATCTTCTCCCTTTCTGAAGGTTGTCTGTTTGCTTTACTTACTGTGCTCTTGGCTGTGCAAAAGCTTCTTAGTTTGATCAGATCCCAGTAATGTATTTTTGGTGTTGCTTTAATTGCCCGAGGTGGGGGTCCTCCTCGTAACATATTCTCCCAGGCCAATTTCTTCAAGTGTTTTTCCTGCACTCTCTTCTAGTATTTTTATAGTTCATGTCTTAAATTTAAATATTTTATCCAGTGGGAATCAATTTTTGTTACTGGTGAAAGGTGGGGGTCCAGTTTCAGTCTTCTATAGGTTGCCAGCCAGTTCACCCAGCACCATTTGTTAAATAGAGAGTCTTTCCACCACTGAATATTTTTGATGGGCTTGTTGAAGGTCAAATGATGATAAGTAGCTAGGTTTGTCTCTTGGTTCTCTATTATGTTCCATAAATCTACCTCTCTGTTTTTGTTCCAGTACCATGCTGTTTTGATCACTATAGATTTACTGTGATTTGTTCTTAATTCTGAGCAATGTATTTGCTATTTGAGGTTTTTTCTGATTCCATATAAAATGAAGCACTATTTTTTCAAGCTCTTTAAAGTATGACAATGGTGCGTTAATAGGGATTGCATTAAATCTGTAAATTGCTTTGGGTAGTATGGACATTTTAACAATGTTGATTCTTCCCAGCCACAAAAAACATGGTATGAAAAACATGGTATGTTTTTCCATTTGTTGACATCTTCAGTTGTTTCTTTTCTCAGAGTTTCATAGTTCTCTTTATAGAGATCGTTCACATCCTTTGTTAGGTAGATTCCCAGATATTTCATCTTTGGTACTACTGTAAAAGGAATAGAGTCCTTGACTGTATTTTCAGCTTGACTATTGTTGGCATATATAAAAGCTACTGACTTGTAAGTATTGATTTTGTATGCTGAGACACTGCTGTATTACCTGATCACTTCTAAGAGTTTGAAGTTGAGTCCCTGGAAGTTTTGACATGTATTTTTGGAGCTCTTAGATGTGTGACAATGTTTCATTGTCTCCTTTATTCTGATAGTTAGATTGGAGCAGGATTCTAAATTGGAAACTGTTTGGAGAATTTATTCTCCTTTTTCTTACTGCTTGTAGAACATTAAATGGTATTTATTAATAATTCCCAATTCTTTTGTTGCCTCCTGTTTTTTCCCCCCACTCTTTTTTCCCCTCTGGAAGCTCTTACAGGGTGTTTTTTTTTAATCTCTGGTTTTCTGAAATTTTATAGTAATGTAAGACTTTTTGGTACATGGTTCTGGATGCCCAGCCTCTTGTAAGTTTTGAGGAAATGCCATGTGCTGTTCCTTAGGCTGTTTTCTTTTCCTCACTGTCTTCTCTGCACTTCACACCACTGCAGATGTGGGTCCTCCTGGACGCCTCCCATTTTCTTTTGTCTTGTATTATCCACACACATGGATAATTCTACTTCCAATTCTACTTTCAGGTCATTTCCTCAACTTTTTTTAACTATTAAAATCTTATTTATCAAGAATTTTTTTTGTTGTTGTTGATGGTACCTTTTAAAATGCTCCTATGTTGAAGCTCCCCGTATTCCATGAATATTTTCTCACATTAGCAAGTACCCAGCAGAAACGTATGCACATGTGTGCTGGGCAACTTGTCTACCAACATCCCTGTCATCGTTATTTATAAACAGCCCACGCTGGAAACAACCTGGGTGCTGGCAGGAAGTGGGTGAATTGCGGCTTATTTTACTGTCCATCCATTTCACACAGGCATGTGGAGCTTCCAGCTGGAGCTGAAAAGCAAAGCAACCCATCCTAAGTCAGTAAACCATACTGGTAGGATGCTGCGCAGTAGTGAGAATAAATTATGACTGAATACAGCAACATGGATGAATCTCACCAGTGTCATACTGAACAAAAGCCAACAGGCAAAAAAGAAATCATACTTACACAAAGTTAAAAATGGGCAGGCTTTATATTCCTGTTTCATTCCCTTTCATCTCTCTGTGTTAGTTGATGTTATCATGTTTTGCTTTACTGACTTATGAGGGATCTTTCTTGCTTACTTCACATGGGATTTCAGGGAAAGCCTTAACAGCCTTTTAAGCTCTGATTGGAAGCTCTGGGTGCCTGTGTGAGGGGTGGACTGACAGGTGTGACGTGGGGTGGCTGAGCTGTGCCCTTAGGAGGCCTCCCTGCCTCCCCGCTGTGCGGGTTACAGGGTGGAGGCTGCACATCGGGGCTCCTTGTCTCCTTAGTCGTCAGTTTCTCTAAAGAGCCATCTTATAATTTTTTGCTGGTGAGGTATTTCTTTAGTTGCCATCCTTCTGGAAGCATATTAGGGCTGGGATTGAGCTCACCATTTGGTGTGGAATTTCACATACTTCAGCATTTAGTATATAGACTTCGTACATAACACTTCCCCAGTGCACTCTCCTGCCTTCCTCTGTTACCAGTGACTTTAAGCGAAATTTTTCTTCTGCTGAAATAGAGAAGATAGAATCATGTGACCACATAGAGAGGACATCTGGCCTTCTCAGCCAGCCCACAGGTAAACTCTGACCAGTTCTCTCCTTCTCATCTTCACGTGTGCTTTGGGATTTGCTGAGATGTCCAATATGTGTCCACAGTTCTGAGCTTCCCACCCGGGAGCTGTGAGGCGTCCTGCTGTCCACTGTGCTGTGCCCGTCGCCCCTCTGGCTCTTGGCCATCCCTCACAGAGGCATTGCCGTAGCTAGTCTGCTGTTGTCTTTGTTCCTTTTGACCTTGTGGCTTTATAATTTTCTGATTACTTTCTTGCTTACTTCACATGGGATTTCAGGGGAAAGTATTCAAGTAGGCATTTGTCTGAAACATTAGGCTTTGATTTTTAAATTTTGGAAAAATTTTCTCCAGTAATTATTGGCAACAAGAGCTTAGAGTCCCATGTCAAAGGGACTATCTGAATTTTAAAAGGAATCTATTATGGCATATTAAGGAGAATTCTAGAAACATGGGAAGAAAAAAATGCCATTAAAATTTGGCCAGAACATGGTAATTTTCTTTGAAAATAATTTGACAGCTGTCAAATATAAGTAATGTTTATATATATTTATTTTAGGAAAGTGTGATTGAAAAGCTTAAATACGAATAAATCAGTAATGAATTTTATGTGTCTTAGGACACCAAGAAAATTTATCCGACTAATTGTAGATAATTATATTCTGAATTTTTTCAAGGTGAGATGTATTTGAATTATCTCAAGTTAATAACTTACTCCCTTCTATGGGTGTTTAAGACCAGACAGACATAACTTAGGAATGCTGTGAGTCTGTTTCCAGACCACCTTAATAAAGCAAATATTGTAACAAAGCAAGTCATGTAAGTTTTCAGTTTCCCAATGCCTAGAAGAGTTATATTTCATTATATTGTGGTCTGTTATATGGACAGTAGCATTATTTCTAATCGATGTATGCACTTTAATTTAAAAATGCTTTATTGTTAAAACATGCTAATGACCTTCTGCACCTTCAGTAAGTAACGATTTTTGTGGGTAGAGGCTCTTGCGTTAATGTTGATGACTGCTTACTGATCGGGGTGGTGCCTTCCTCACTGAGCTGAATCCTTTCTAGCTTTTGATTTAAAGTGAGAGATGTATGACTCTTTCACTTGAAGAGTTAGAGGCCATTGCAGCTTTAATAATTGGCTTAATTATAATATTGTTGTGACTCGGAAAAGAGAGGCCCTAAGAAAGGAAGAGAGATGGGGGATGGCCAGTCAGTGGAGCATTCAGAGCACATGCATTTACCAGTTAAGTTTGCGTCTTTCCTGAACACTGTGGTGCACCTCACTGTTCACAGTCACCATAACGTAATAGAGGTGAACAAATTTAAAATGTTGTGAGACTTACCAAAATGTGATGCAGAGACATGAAGTGAGTGTGTTATATTGGAAAAATGATGCTGATAGATGTGCCCGAGGCAGGATTGCTGCAGACCTTCCATTTGTAAACCACGAAGCATTGAAGTGTGGAGGAACACAGTGAAGTGAGGTGTGGCTGGGTTTTGTTATCTTAAGGATCTTTAATGTCATTTCTGTGAACTTACTTTGAATATGTGTACTGCTTTTATTTATACTCATGAGACAGCGGGCTTTGCAAAATATGTTGTGTATCTGTCCATATACATAATTATGCATCTATATTTAAAATATATACACATAATTTTTTAGGTCTTAGGAATTTTATCCTAACCTAATGAAATGTGTCAGAAAACATTTGCTAGAATTTAAAGAACACATTTACATAAAATAGGTAATTTTTGGTACTTAGCAACTTTGTGGAATAACTTTGTTGAATAATTTTCTTTCTTGAATTCTTACAAGCCTACAAGTATTTAACATTGAGCTCTAGATATGATATTAATTGTTGAGTAAAATATGGTGTATTGCTTTGTGTAATTTTAAAATTATGAGATAACCACATTATTCAATATATCACTTGATTTTTTCATCAGATGTACATAGGATGTAAATACGTATATGTGTTTGAAGTAATGATGAAATGGTTTTCCTGAAAATATCCCTTGAACATATTGCTTTAGAAAAATTAGAATAATTTAAACTTTGCTCTGCCTTGAAAAAGGAGTAAATTAAACTGAAATTAACATTTTAATCAGAGTTACAGATTGTATTAATAGAATGTATTCATGATTATGGTGATTTACTTATAATTTTTTTAATACTTAGACATAGATCTTCATCATCTGAAGAACCATCTAATGAACTTTTATTTCTTTAGCAGATGTTTTTACTGTGTTTATATTAATAGTAAATATTTATAGCAAATATTAATATTTATATTAAAGCTAATGTGCAATTCATTGGCCAGTCACAGATTAGCCCTGTGGCTCTGCTTGTGTGTGTGGTGGGGTTTTTCCCAGTCTGTGCAATCACATTGTACTCTGGCTGCCTGAAGTTAGGTGTGGCGATGGAGAGTATTAAAGATAGCTGTTTTTTTCATTAGAATGGAGTTCTAACCAGTTGGATTTTAAATTTAATGTGAAAACAGCAAGTGTATATAGGATTTGGCCACTTTTCAGTATCAGATGTTTTAGTTGGAGACATAATAGAACATTTCTTCCCGATCATCTGGAGTGGGGAATGCACAGTCTTTGTGGCCTGGCTTGATATTTGAATGTAGATTCTTCTAAATTCCATTTAGAGTTAACCTATATAAAATAATTTTATTTATTTAAGTTTTTAGAGCTAGAGATTTTATTCTTTAAAGCAAAATTTCAGGGCTGTTTTAGCTGAGGAACAAAATCCTGTTTAATTTTTGCATAGATACGAATGTCTACAAACACTTGTCCATAAACTCTGTGTGGCTGTTCACATGGAAAATAACTGAAGCCCATGAGTTAAGAAAGTAAAATTGTGGGAAGTCAGACACTGTTTCAAATTATGGCACAGTCAGTGGAAAGAACAGTAGAACATATTTAAAGAAATCTGTTTGTCAGTCCTTAAGCCAGATCACATTGTCTGTCTTCATTCTGTGTGGCTGTGGCAGAGTTCACACACCACGGACTGGATAATTTATGATGAAGAAGAGGTTATTGGTTCACAGTTCTGGAGGCTGAGACGTCCAGTATCAGGGTGGGGTCTGTAAGGGGCCTTCTTCCTGCATCGTAACACGGTAGGGGGCCTCACGTGGCAGAGGGTGGGAGGGCAGCTGGGGCAAACCCACCCCATTGCAGGTGACGTTAGCCGTTTGTGAGTAGCCCACCGGACGTGGCACTGCTGAGGTCCCGCTCATGGCATTGCATTGCAGTTATACTTCCACATGAGTTTGGAGGGACAGAGTGCAGACCCCTGGTGTATTGTCTTGATGACTTTGATTTGTTCTCTGCCAAATTTGTAATTTTTTTTTTAAAGAATGCTTTGGCTACTCTACATTCTTTGTATTTCAGTATAAAGTTTGTCATTTTTCTTTTATTGGAAATCTCTTTATCTTATTAATTTTTATAATTAAAAAAAACTGGTGAGGCAAGGTGTGGTGGTTCACCTAAAATCCCAGCAGTCTGGGAGGCCAAGACAGGAGAATTGCTTGAGCTCAGGAATTGGAGACCTGCCTGAGCAAGAGGGAGACCCTGTCTTTGCTAAAAATGGAAAAACTAGCTGGGTGTGGTTGCCGGCACCTGTAGTCCCAGCTACTTGGGAGGCGGAGGCAGGAGGATCACTTGAGCCCAAGAGATCGAGGTTTCTGTGAGCTATGGTAATGCCACAGCATTCTACCTAAGGTGACAGAGTGTGATTCTGGATGGATAGATAGATAGATAGATAGTAAATAAAACTGGTGAGATTAATCCAGTTTTTTAAAATAGGTATCGATGTATATAGATTTTCTGTTGTCTTTGGTAATTTTTTTTTTTTTTTTTGGTATTCATTCCGTGTAATTGTTGAATTTATTTTCAAGGTATTTATATTTCCTTATCCTTTGAGTTCCTCTGGGATCTTGTGTTATCTGTTACTGCATGACACACCACTCCTGAGCAGCAATTTAAAACAGCCGCACTTACTCCTTCTCGGCACCTGTGGGTCGGGAATCATAGCGGGCGGGCGACACCGGGGTGAGGCTCCCACAGTTGTTTCAAGACTGACCTTGGAGGGGCTCCTCTGCCGTGTTCACTCACGGGGACACAATTCAGATTCACATTTTTCCTCTTTCATCACATTAACAATGTCTCCTCTCTGGGCCCTGATGATTGCTAGTAACAGGCTTGTCATTTTTATATTGTGTTGTGTTCGTATGGCTGTTTGTTAATGATGTGCCTAAATATAGTTTTCTTTGTATTTGTCCTCTTTGGGGTTTACCAAAATTCTTATACTTACCTCTTATACCAAATTTGGGGAATTTTTAGTCATTGTTTCTTTAAATATTTTTGTTTCCTCTCTTTTCTCTGCTTCTGGGACTCCAGTTATATGTATGTAGACCTTTCGATAGTCACCATGGCTGACTGAAGTTTCTTTTCAATCATTTCTTCTCTCTCTTCTTTATATTAAAAAATTTCTATTGACTTATCTTCTACTTTACTGACTCTTCAGTTCCATCAATAAGTTTTGTTTTTTAAATATTGTGATAAAAGATCTTGAGTTCCTTTTTATATTTTCTTTTCTTTCGCAGAGCTTACCTATTTTTAATTTACTCTGAGCCTTTTATTGTTGTTACTAGAGGTATAGTTTGAACAGCGATCTTATTATCATCGCTAATTTCAACTTAGGGGTTATCTTGAGTTGATATCCATTGATTGCATTGGTGGCACAGTTTTGATAATTTCACAGTCAACAGCAGGAATCTGACATCACAGTTAAAACTGTAATGGTACACCGTCACTGTAAACTGTGACTCTGTCACTGTAAACTGTTATGTGTCTCTGTCACTGCTGCCTTAGAACTTGCAGCCGCGTCCTCTGGAGAGCGGGTGTGGTGACGGGCTCTGTGTTCCCCAAGACCTCTGGAGAGCAGGTGTGGTGACGTGCTCTGTGTTCCCCGAGGCCTCTGGAGAGCAGGTTTGGTGACGTGCTCTGTGTTCCCCGAGACCTCTGGACAGCGGGTGTGGTGACGGGCTCTGTGTTTGCTTTCTCCTGCAGGGCACCTGCTCCACAGTCAGCGTCATCCAAGTCATTCCGGGAATTCCTTCTAGAAGAAAAAAAGTCTGTCACTGGTCATAGTTCAGGTGATCATGTCAAAAAAGTTTGTTTTAAAGGAATTGAAAATTCTCAGACTCCAAAAGTTATAAGGTAATAAACTTAAAACTAATATGTTTTCTACCTTAGCGTAATCTATAGTGGTTTTCTATCTGAAATAATCCTGCAAAAATTTGAATCATATTTTTACGTTCTTTTATATTGGAAATTAACATTCACATGTCTGTTCCCTTTCGCAGTTACTGAGGAATAATTGACTTAAGCAGCGTATATTTGACGTATACATTCTGAAGTTTGGGCGTAGGTGTGCACCTGTGACGGCAGCACCACGTTCAGGACAGGGAGCAGATCCTGGTTCTAGGGGGTTTCTGTGGTGCTCTTAGTAATCTCTTCCTCCCACGCTCTCTATCCCCCATGCCCCAGGCACCTTCTGTTAGTAGAGGGTGTGTATTTTAGAGTCTTGTGTCAATGGAATCAGACAGTACATACCCTTTTTAATGTTGTGTTTTACATCATTAGTGTTGTGTGTGGTGGTGTTTCACTGAGTGGATACATCACAGTCTGTCTGTCTGTGTGTCTGTATTTCACAGTCTGTCTGTGTGTCTGTCTGTGTGGTTGTGTTTCTCTGTGTGAATACACCACAGTCGTCTATCTGTGTGTCTGTATTTCACAGTCTGTCTG